TGGCCATTGGCTAAAACGTTCGGGTTTACGTCAAACGACATACCACCGGAAACCACCATGACGGTCAATTTCGTCGGTACCAAAGGAGCAGTCTAAAAACACGCGGCACGACCTGATCCGCAATGACGAGGACAATTGGACGATAACCCCAGCCTTCCGCGGCAGACTGATTCACCTGGATGACGTTGAGACCACGGCCTTCTCGAGAAACACGCACTACACTCTCATCTTCAACGACGACAACAAATGGTTATTAGTTCCATCCCAAATCGACTGGAATCTCAACATCACGCTCGACTCTCCCCAGGTTATCATGGACAACAAAGATCACTACCTGACGAAAGTCGTGAACAACGGAACGCTGCTCATTGCTTACGTCCCAATGCAAAGATGCAGCGAGATCGTCAGCACGTTGAGACAAAGAGTAGCCCACGTGCTGTCCAGCAAACCCCGGACACAAAACGTGGGATTGCAGATGGTGTCAGAATTCGACAGCGTGTTAAACGTCCTGGAAAATGTGCCTGCGAAATCCACGCTTAACATCCAAGTCTAGATCGGCGAACTACCGTCGGCGCGTGACGTCATCAAAATCGTGAAAGGGATCAAACTACGCTGGGCCAAACAACAACAATACCAAGTTTGCGTTAACGCCTACAGCAGTTTGCAGGGAGTCACCGTCACCGTGGAAGACACTATATCGCCCACCAAAATTTTCCTACTCGACAACATACATCTCATGGGTTTGAAGTGCACGTCCGAGGAATTATCCGATAACCAAGTGAAATCCAGTTTGTAATTTTGTATTAAAAAACAAACAACGAAGAACCATTATCCCTACATAAAGAGACACGCAGGGATTCACTCTGCCCTTCGAGGAAAACACCTTTTACGTACTGCACTTAAAAGATAACACATACGAGCTGATGTCACTAGGAGACTTCAAACAGCCCGACTGGTTGATCGACATGACCCTCACCTCACCCTACATATATGTTTTTAAAAACAATGGTTACGTCTCCAAAATTACGAACAACGGGATCCTTCTCACGTGTTTCACTCCAGAGTTTGATGTACAAGTTTTAGGAATACCAGGTCACACGGACAACATGTTAGCTTCAAACGACGTGGCTTCATATTTACGGTTCGACGTACCCGATTAACAACTGGATTTTTTCAATTCAAATTTGACTATCAAATCACACACCGCTCTCGTAATAGATGTCTATCTCGCTGACGCTCATGGGTCAGAACGAACACTTTTGACTGGGTTGACAATATGCTGGCTCGACAGACACAATCACCAAACGTGTCGTATCGTCTTAAGACCGGGATCGACACCCTTAGTAAGCCTTGATGGAGTTCGTGTTATAGAAAAAAAATTGATTCGTGTCGCGAATATTTACGTGTCCAATAATCTAAACCTTATCAGCCTCAAATACATTGATCGGATATTAACAGAAAACCAATAAAATATTATGTTATAAAAAATATATATATACACACAGGATGGGACTGTACCCAGTCGTGGATGAAGTAGCAAAGACACTGGAAACCGTAGACAGGTTTTTTACGCGACAGATATGCGAGATCAAACAACAACTAGAACGTGAATGCGATACGCGGTCGGCATTACAGAAAAAATATCACAGGGCCGTCAATTCCGTGTACGGTGTTTGCAGCGCTCTGATTTCAGTCAGCATTGGATTAGGCGCGGCAGGTATAATATTATTATCCACCATCGTGGCCGCACCCGTGGTGCTAGGCATCGAAATCACACCCGGAGTGGTAGAAATTAGAATTCTAAACTGACGAGCAAAAGAAAGTACACAGGTGTAATTGTTGTTGGAATCCCAAATATGCGTTCTAACTAATAAAATTATTGAAAAACATTGATTGTATAGAACGCAACCATCATGTTTCATTGCCAAAATGCAACCAAACACATTTGTACGTGTTTCGCACGAATTTATGCAAAATTGTGACTATTGTCCCATGCACCAGCACTTTTCTGACAGAGAGTATAAAACCTGTTTGTCGCGAAGACTGAACAATCACTTGACAGAAATCTCACGAGGAAATGCCAAGATTGACGTCGGCGCAACGAGAACGGGCCAAAGGAATGACACATATGGGTGCTTTCAACAGCGATATTGCAAGGACATTGGGTTGCACAAGACAAACCATAATTCGGCTGTTTAACCGTTTCAGTACGACAGGCCAGACATGTGATCGACCCAGAAGTGGACGTTCCAGAGTCACAACACCCCAAGAGGATCGCTATCTGCGGGTTATTCACCTACGCAACTGGATGTTGACGGTGACGTCATCAGCAGCCACATCGTTGGGTCATCGCGTTAGCCGATTCACAGTGACAAGACGACTTCGTCCTGCTGGCATGTATTGGCCTACCGACCGCTGCGTGGAATGGCCTTGACCTTCCAGCATCGTAGGAACCGTCTGCAGTGGTCATCACTACATCGCTGTTAATTGTTACAATGTCATTTTGCTGATAAAACACGTGTATTGCAGTGTGCTTCAACATACATTTTCCATTTCATCAAAAGGTTTTGTTATTGTTATCTTATTGGAAGAAACACAACCTGTGTACTTTCTTTTGCACATCAGTTTAGCTGAAGCAAAGTTAAACACGATAGACGATCATATTTCCAATTAAATCAACATAACATAGCCAGCCAGCCAGCCAGCTATTCCAACGGTACTTAAATATCACCGAAGTACTCATACATTGTATTGCTGTTTTTGTTTTTGCTATTTATTCTAAAGAATTAAACCTCTTTGGTACAACTAAAAGAAAGAAAAAAACACATATTTGTTAAAGACATATTCTGACGTAATTATTACCAGATACATGTATTCACCTTATATTTCAATTATATTTCTGATAATCACAAATGGGATTTGTTTTATTGAACATGCAAATACAATTTGTATAAAAAAAACCGCTACATTAAATCCCAAAGCAGAAACTCAATAAATTACTTTTATAATATTTTTCAAACTGAACATACGTGCAACCTTGCTGTCATACCACAAGTGGACTTTTAACTGAATTCGCTGAAAAATATATGAATGGCCACAAGAAGGTCAGACTAAAATATTCCCAGAGAATTGAAATATATGCCCAATGTTAAAGATCAAAGTTGATTAGCTACATACAGATATAATATTATTGTTTTAAAGCTCGTAGCGATTTATAATTACATTTCCTAAAATTGTTGGAAGCACACTACAATCTCCATAGCAAGCCCGCAAGATCGTCAGATACACCCTCAGTTGAACCCATGAGAGCCGTTATGTCAACAAACGCACGTGTGTGTATTTGAATCTCTCACCGTCAATCGCATGATTCTTATCAAAAACACCATAATAGGCAGCAAAATCCTGTTAGCTAAGTTCTTTGTACTTTCAATATGACGAAATATATTTTTCTTTTTTTTTTTTTAAACAATGCCAAAAACGATTAAAGTACTCGGGATGATTTTTACCAAAGCACCGCTGTCATTTACGCGCGTTCTGATTGGTTTGTCGTATTTTCGCACATAACAAGCATCGAGATGGGGACGAGTCTTCTTGCAGGTTACGAAAAGGGGCGAGTGGTGACGATTGCAACATAACGTTGCCAGCCAGACGGTCGGCTGTACAAGCCGATCCGAGACAGACAGACAGACAGACAGACAGACACACACACACACACTCACACTCACTCACTCACACACTCACACTACGACTCGCTCACAGCGCTCGATCGGTGATACCGAGACGGCAGCGAGGCGACCCGGAGGAAATGCCGAGAGCTGCGGTATGATTTAGCTTCAAGAGGCTCTCACTTCGCTACTTTATAACATGTACGGCAATACGTTGGATAGTTAGCCTTTCACCCAGACAGACCCCATGCTCACTAACAAATGATTATTTCCTAAAATATTTGACCGATTTACATGAAATTTTGCATGCATCTCAGCAGTTGTGTGCACTATAGCAGAACGGAATTTAGAACACTCTCGATGACTTCATTAGGTTAAGGAAGACTTAATTACAACAATACATTGGACATTTAGCCTTTTGCCAGACGGACCCCATGCTCACTAAAAAGTCAATATTTCAGAAACTATTGAACGTGAAATTTGGCATGTACCTCCACCAGTAGTATACTGACAAGACCTGGTCCCGTTCCGCTATTGTGTATACTACTTGGGGACTTACAGTATATTTGCTTCCTGCATGGACCCTAGCTGGATTTATATCATCGCTTTAGCTGTCAGCAATTGTCGACCAATTTAGCCATCAGTTAGAATAGCATAGGTGCTATGATTAAAAGAGTCGTGGACTTACATACCCCAAAACACTGACAAAATATAACATAAAGCATCAGGATTAATAAGCTAAAGTATTCATTAACTCAAAATGGGTGCTTCTACAAATCAAATGCGCAATCATCAACAGAGGAAATCTAGTATTTGTTCATTTTAAATAATGAACGTCTCCGCACTATCGAATATGTGTTTGTAGAAACCTAGTTTAATAAGTTGTACTTTCAGCAAGTGGTATATTATCTGTCGTTTAATGTTGAAGGTACACGCTGATTATGAACACAAATCCTTTGAGGTCATGAACGAAATATTGTTATCATGTTAAATTGTTAAATTGGGAGACACCATGATAACAACGCTGTCGACGTTTACAACCTCATTCGGATGTTTTACAGATATAAATCAAAGATGGCAATAGAAACCTCATATGCATCATGTGTACCACAACTTGCCAAAAAATATTAAATCAATGAATGTAAACGACCTAAGCTATATCAGACTTCACATTTGTACTGACAGTGCTGGGCTTGCATCTCAGTTGTATCCTCTTTACGCCCCTGTTACGTAAAAATTGTTCCATGTTTTAACTATTTTTTTATAACGTTGGCTCACATTCAAATTACATTTTTCAGAGTCTACCTCACCAACAAGCATAGAGATTTTGAGCCGTGTACCAGTGAGTAAGAATGTGTCATCACTAAAGGACCACAGCAGGGGAGACTCTGTATGTGTGTTTGAAAATTCAAACCTGCAATATTTCATCGTCAAGGCTCCTAAAATCAGTTTCAGAAAATGCATAATCCTTTTTCGATGAACAACAATTGTTCTTTCTGCTGCAAAAGCGGAATGAAAATACGATCTCATTCAGTTTTTTATGTTATGTAGAACATGTAACGGCCATTCTTAAGTATATTGGAAGTTCCTTCCAATGTCTCTTACATTTGACTGATTTCATATAATGAAAGAAGATATACATTCAAAACTTGCCGATACATTGATTTCGATCTGACTTACTTCATGTGTATTCGTTGATGAAATATGGCGGTTTCTGCAACAGGAAGGTTCTTTACACATCTTTGAGGGAAATAGCTTGCAATGGTTAAAACCTAGAAATTGACAGTAATCAGATTGAATTGTTGTTGTCCAACGTGAGGATGCAAACTGTATCTCAATTAAAATAGAAACTATGTTTGTGACATTGTCAAAATGACGAAATAAATAAAACGACTGCAGCTGTTAGCATCGTTGGGTTTGTCAAGTATGATAAGAAACCATGAGTATGTCATTTGTAACTAGAATGAAAGGCTAGTCGAGACTAGACATATTGACTAGCCAGCACAACACAGCATACACTGCCAGAGGGAACATGTCAATCTTCGTATACCTGACATATTTGGGGGAGACATATGGCCGATATTTCAACACAGTTAATGATCTGGTTTATTGTCTTTCCGAGTGGTTTACGTCAGCTCTTCGTGTGAGCCCCTTTGTCTACATTGTGTACCATTGACACTAATTTTGATCAATTTCCTTTTCTGAGATACTTACTAGTGTCATCCAAAATATATTACAGTAAAGTTGTTTCAAAATTTGGTAAAAGTCATAACAAACGTTTAGGAAAACACACATGAAAATGTCCTGAAGCTTTCACCTCCTGCAAACCAGTGTGCAATTTAATATGAAGTTCATTTTCCAAATAACCATCAACAAACCTTGAACAACATCTTAATAGACACTACTTTGGCTCAGTCTTCAAATATTGGTAACCTCCCCAAAAGCTGATGATTTCTAAGTAGTATTACACCAAACATGGGTTAAATATATGTTTCACTATTCCATCCAGTTACATGAATAGTCAGCTGAGACTTTTGTATGCTATTCTGTTCCAAGACTGAATAATGCCTTTGTTTCTTTCAAATTCCCTGGATGTTGAAATAACTTTATTATTAGTTATGATACTTGTAATCACTTTCAGAATAATCTTATTAGTAAATATATTATTTAAAAAACCCAAAGATATCTTAAAGCAGGAGCCAACAAGTTAGTTAGAACCAAGTGATTGTTCTGCCATGATATGTATATAGTGTTTGTTTGCCTAGTTCTGCCTTAAAATCACATGAATCTGATATGTCAGTCAATTAAGTAATTATTTATAATTTATGAGATTATTATTTATTTCATTATCTTTCCACGTTTACTAAAGGACTCAAGATACTTAAACATACATTGCTATCATTCCCAGTGAATTGATTAAAATGACATTAACAGATATGCTGTACTGTACGTAGCCCTTCAGATTGTGCTTTTGAAACTTAAGAACATCCTAAAATGTGTGACAAATTCAAGAATATCTTAAGAGCGAAGGGAACAATATCAACCATATTGTTCTTTAATGTAACAAGTTTTGCTATTTCAGTCCACCCTAACCGAAATCAGATCACTGTCAGATTTGTTTACATTGTGTCACGGCCTCCTCGCCTGTCTCATTTCAGCATTATGGCGTACCAACTCAATGCCCAGTATTGACAAAAAACGTTAAGCAAAAACAATTTTGTAGTTACCAGAATTGTCCGTGTTTATAACACTTTCAAAGTCTTAAACTGCTATTTGTTGTCATCTATTGGTAATGATTTTGCACATGTGCGAATGTGTGGAAATTCGTGCAAATTTCACCTTCGAACAGACGTAGGTTTCGTGAACGATGGTGCCGACATTTAACTGATCGTTAGACCTATCACACTCCTTGATCCGCCTCAAATCTTTTCTCTTGATCGTAGTGGTTGTGGTAAAGGTACACATCAAATCGCAGCAATATGTAGTAGATATAGCAGGTGTGAATGGCATAATTCGAAGGGCATAATTCGAAGCACATCGCTTCGGAGGCATCGTTTGACCCCGGAAATAAGTCTGACAAATCCACAAAACGCGCCCGGCCTGCTAATTGGCCAAAATTGACGCCTGCGCCAGTTTTGATTGACACACTAGATCTGTCTATTAACTCTAGGTTCAGATGAATGGCATATCGTTTCTTATAGTGTCCAATTTTTTACAGCGTCTTGGTCACTGATTCGTTAAGGTGTGAAGTTTCGCTGTCAAATCTGGGATAACTAGCAGTAACAATTAAGGGCAATTCTGAAAATGCAATCACCTGAGAGAAGTACAGAGCAAGTAACATTCTTGAACACTAATACCGCAATCAACTGAGAGAAAAGGATGCGAGAAGCAGCATGATCCGTTGAGATGTGTGAATGCAATGTTTAACAAAGTCTACGTCATGAGCAGGATGGGAAAAGTAGCTTTACAAATTACTTTCAAAGCATATATACCCACATATACATCACATTTTCTTATCGTATTTCGTCAGGGCTGAGAAAGGTACAATTTTAGATGGTAAGAGACCAGGTGGAGAATTGTTGCTGGATGGATATTGGTATCTGAGACTAACTGCCAACAGGAATGGTATCGTCATATGGAGATGTCAGTGCCTAAGAAACAAAGACACTAGATTGTCTGGTCCAGACTCGATTATTTACAGACCGCCGCCATATAGCTGGAATATTGCTGAGTGCGGTGCAAAACTAAACTCACTCACTAGGATTATAAGACAAAATATAAAGACGTACATTGACTTCGTTATTTTTCAGTCCTAACATTTTTTACCACTGGCAGATGGTTAAACTTCAAAATGTTTTCATTTGTTATCATAAAAATGAAGATGGAAATATTATCGAGTAAAAAGGATTTCATTTTTGTTGATCAATCTATACCTCTACGTGTGTATTTGGCAAATAGAAAATTTACCATTAACACAGAACATAAAGCACTTACATTGTTAAAATCTGTAAAAGAATCTGGAACTGGAACGCTGATGCCTTGTCTCGTAGACCATATGCTCAACCTGACGTTCTCCCAAATTCGGATGAGCTACCAGCACCAGTAACCCAAGAGGTAAGTGTAGCTGAACTACAAGTCTCTTACCATGCGGAGGGGGACAAAGAACTTCTGTGTGTCACCTTTGGATATCAGAAAAGGATCCACCAATATCGACACTTGCCCCAGATGATCACATCTCAGGCTCTGAAGCAATCAAGGAGCGTCAACGAACCTGTCAAGACTTCAAAGATATCATCGAGTGCAAAGAAGAGGGATAAATTCCAGAAGATTTCACCTACAAACAAATACAAGGTCTTGTTGGCAGAGATATGGAGTATGACATCTTCAATGGTACCCTTTATCACATCTACCAAATGAAATTTAGAGGATCTGAACCAAACAGACACCAAATCATCTCAAAGGAAGATCCCAAAGGAAGATAGACAAGCACTACTGGAAGCATATCACGACTCTAAGACAGGAGGATGCCAATTTGGTCGGGATGACACACGCAAGTCCTTAATGAGGAAATACTTCTAGCCAGGTATGTACCTAGATGTTGAAAATGTTGTCAAGTCCAACGTACATTGTCAATTGTTTAAGAGGAAAGGAAAAGCCAGGAAAACACAAATGGTTCAGAAGACAACTTTACAAGGCTGCATGTGGATATCCTTGGACCATTGCCGGAAACCAACAATAAGAACATGTTCGTCCAGCTTGCAGTCGATTCCTATTCAAGATGGACAGAAGCTTTTCCCACGAAGACACAAGAAACCACTGAAGTGGCTGTTGTCAATGTGTGGTACGTGGTCGACTGTGGAATTAGCTCATAATTAAGACGAACAATATGTTGACAAAGACGAAGGCATAGTTGGGTTCAAACTTCTTTAGTTGGTTACACTAGGCATGCCAAACAAGTATACAAGACATAAATGAGGTGAGTGGAGTTCCTGCTCAACCCCAGGGCGTTTCCTACAAGCGGCATTATCCTGCTCGCGGTCGTCCCTACACAGACAGTCGGAATACCGGACTCTTTTACCATACAGATGTGAGCACATATATGCAGTTTTTGACAACAATGGACAGGCGACAACACCAATGGACAGATAGAGAACCAATAGCACTTCCTTGACCAGTTGCTGTGATGGCAGACAGGGGACCAAGGGGGGTGACAAATTAAGGCAATAAATGTCATATACAATAATTACTGACAGTGACAGAGTGATACAGGGTGGCTGTCAAGACGATGTACACTGCAGTAGTTATAAGGATTAAGATTGCAGATTGAATAATTACAATTACCCCAAGCTTAAATAAATTGAGTCAAAACTGATAGGAGTGAAGCTATATAAATACCAACAGTGCAAATCATTAAATAATCCCTAAAGAACAATTCTGGATGTCGTTGACATCCCGTGCAGCAAATATATCTATTCTATAACGGTATGAGAATGATTATCTTGCCAGTCTGACTTATCAGAAAAATAATCAAATGATTGTTGTATTGTACATTTCACATCCAGGTATTTACTACTTTGGAAAGATTCAATAAATATTTCAGGAAAATATCTTTGAAATCGGGAGTCTGGCTTTGCGGTGAGGCTCATTACCAAAGAAAGATAATACTTACCGTCATAAAAAGTATACATTAAACATTCGCATTCGCATTAAAAAAATTGAAACCAGCAGTCTAACTTTACCGCGCTGCTCAGACGGTACTTGTGGGTACTGTTGTCCTCTAAGTACAATGGGTGCTCTTCCCGCGTCTGTGAGTAAGTGAGTGAGTATGATTTAACGCCGCTTTTAGCAATATTCCAGCAATGTCACGGCTGGGGACACCAGAAATGGGCTTCACACATTGTGCTCATGTGGGGATTCAAACCCGGGTTTTCGGCGTGACGAGCGAACGCTTTAACCACTAGGCTACCGCCCTCCCGTGTCTGTGACGAAGCTTGCCCATATATAGTGGGTGCTATGCCCAATAAAAAAGTATTCCTATTCTGACTTCAAAATTCTTAAATGCTGTATATTGCTTTGCTGGTTATGTCTTATTACTGACACATAATATAAATGTGTATGTGGATGGCTGGACCCAAGAATATCCCTATTCTGACTTCATTCTACAAAAGTAATTTGGAGCACATTGTTCACATGCATAAAATACGTTAATGTATTGACATAAGAAGGTAATGATGTACTGGCCGATGACTGAACACACCTGGTGGCACTTATCAACAATAACGCATTGTATATCCTGAAATGAGTCCATTTTAGTACACACAGATAAAAACGTCCCGATGAGCTTTGTTGTACACAATGTCCATCTTGAAGATGTCCGTGGGGTGGTTTCTGTATGAATACAGTATCTCCATAATGATGGCTGTGATCAGATCTCTGTGGGAGAGACGCATATATTTGCTTGGTCTGTGGTATATCGCTGTTTCATCCTTAACTTGTAGGTTGTCCATAGTGTGGTTGTTGTATTATGCTCTATTAAAGATGGCGGTGTTGAGGATCCATGTTGATCAAGATGCTTGCAATCTCTTCGGGCAGACGTAGAACTTGGGGAATCATCCTTGATACACAGTGTTAATGGTAGGCACATAGAGAGGTTTCCAAAATCGGGAGTGAGCTAAACCGTTACTCCAGCCGGATTCTAACACCAGTTGTCTCTTGGTGTTAAAGGTCTGAATACTTCGTCTTGTTGAAAATTTTGTGAGGCTTCTTCCTTGTTGAGAAGAAGAGACCTCACTTTAAGATGGGGAAGTGTGTTGTTGGGGAACCTTGAATAGAGAAGGAAACTATTACCACTGAATTGTGACATGATCCGTTTATTTCTGGAGTGCAGTGATCCTTGTTACAAAACAATCGATAAGATTATATTAAATAATCATGCAATGTATAAATTGACAATAAACTCATACAATGAAACACATGTGACATAAAGACAATTATACATGAGTACAGGTTAATGGTACATAATGTAGACAAAAGAGCTCCTAGTGGATAGAGTGTGGCCGGAGGCTACTGAAAGCAATGATCCACAAAATATCTCAATTAACTCTAGGTTTACAAATGTAAAAGTTAGTTTGCGTGTTACGCTGCACCTACCCTATAATTTAACATTGTCTATTAATGACTTGATAATTAAATAAAACAACACATTACAACATGTACATTACGATATGTACACTACAAATCTGACACATTACGTTTATTCAAAAGGCTGGTAATCATTTTTAGATGCGTCGCTAGTAACGAAGGGAGACGACTTCATGTCTTAACATACCAGTCGCAAAGGGAGATACAATAATTACTTATAAAAAATACTATTTGTCTCAGAAAGTATAAATCACAGTTTACAATAGTAGTTTACATAATTGATATAAACATTGTGTGTATACACTGACTTTAGTCTGGAAATACACCTTGTACACATTGGTCAAAATAAAGCTCATGTTAATTATAATAAAATCAATAATTACAATAATACACCAATATTGCATATAACAAAACGCATGTATACATCAATAAGTCAGTTGCTTACCTTGAATAGAGGAGGAAACCATGAGCACAGAATTGTGACGTGATCCGTTTATTTCTGGAATGCAAGTGATGGTTATGACCTACACCTGCCTTCCATATATACCCCATAACCCGGAACACAGTGATTTGTCATCTCGTGCCACGCCCACAGTTTCCATTCAAGGTGACCAGCCCGCATAATAAATAAAAACATCTTTGTTTGTACCCAAAAGAATTTAATATTATATATATACGATCGCAAACTAAGTATTTACAATAAAGCTAAACTAATCAATTATGTTTTATATATATTTGCTTAGTTTTAGCACGGTAACAGAATCTCTCCTGGGACATTCTCAGTGACATGCAGATCAGCTTTCCTTCAATTCTAACGAAGGAACTGGTAAAAACAGTGAAGGACTCAGACTTCTTTGCTTTCGTTTTGTGATAAATGGGTTACCTGTCACAGAGTATTTGACTAACGTGCAGGTTGATGACGTAATACAGTTACAAGGTGTGTGGAGCAAGCACTCTCTAAACTAATCTAAACTTGGACATGACAAAGTTAGTCAGTCTTGGCACTGATGGGGCGGCTACTATGATTGACAAGAAAAGCGGTTTGGGAGTTCAGATTAAACACAAATTTGCCCCATTTATGGTGCATAGTCACTGTCAGGCACACAGGTTCAGTTTCGCCTGTGTGGATTCCATTAAGAAACTAACATTACTTAAGACATTCAAGTCAAGGTTCAATTCGCTTTATTGGATTTTAGTACTTCAGGTATAAGAACTGCAACACTGGACAGTGTGCAAACTATCCTAGAAGACCCAGTTGTGAAAATCAAAGAACCTCACCGTGTTAGGTGGCTCAGCATTAGATCAGCAGTGAAAGCTGTCTGCCTGTGTTATGCCTCAGTGCTTGTTGCCTTGTCACAGTTGGGAGAGACAAATGCAGTGGCCAAATCCCTCTACACCTACTTCAGTGATGAGCAGACTGCCTTACTAACGGCATACATGTACGATGTACATGAACAGTTGGCAATTCTCAGCTGTCATCTCCAGAAGGAAGACATTGTCTTCAGTGAGGTCAAACCTCTGATAGATGGTTGTGTTTGTGCTGTCAAAAAACTAAAGGAAGGTGGACAATATTTTCAGAAAATGAAATTAGATCTGGGGGAGAGCTCTACATTAAAAGGTGTTGAGCTAAAGAAAATGAACACTAAAAAGGAGTCAGATCTGAAAGGTTGCATGGAGAAGTATATTAAAAACCTTTGTGAGAACATCGAGGCTAGAATGTTGGATACATCCGGCATGCTATATACGTTTGGTGAAGTCTTGCAACTAGAGTGTTTTGATGCAGATGTTGCCGAGGAAGCAATCAAGGAACTTGGTAACTTCTATGGAGAGGCAAAACAGACCAAAATCATTCATGAAGAGAGTGATGAGCCTGATGTTAATGACGTGCAAGCCCTCATTGACAAAATGTGAGCTAGTTAAAGAGTGGCCTGTGTTTAAAGGAATGGTGCTTACAAGAAACTGACATGTCGTGAGCTGTGAAGGAGAGTTATCACTTTACACACTGGCTTGATCCCTAACATTAGTACACTGTGTCAGATTGCCTTATGTCTCTGTCTATCCAGTGTCAAATGTGAGACTTCGTTTAATGTTCACAACAGAATTAAAGACAAACACAGGTCATCACTCAAAACCTCCACGCTGTGTACACTGATGAAGATTAACCTGCTGGCTCCAGAGTTGGAATGTTGTGAGACTTGTCATCAAAGATGTGAAATTGTGGAAGCGGCGCAAGAAAAGGTGGTTCTTCTTGCTCACTACAGGATATAAAGTCAAGACGTCTAAAGTCTCTCAAGAGACTTGATCATGTAGAGACTGGATCATGTAGAGACTGCTCTGTATCATCATGCCTGATATTTGCATGAAATTTACAACTCATTTGAGAGTATTCTTATAGTATAACTGCCTTTATTCTTAACTTCACACTAGTATATACTCCATAGACTCTGAGTGATTATGTAATCTTGTAAGTGAACACTTTGTGAAAGAAACAACAAACCAAAATTAATTCTCCTTATTTTTGCGTCATATTTACGGTTTTATAGCTGAAAAGTTGTTTAATATTATTAATAACAAACCACATCACCAACTCACTCACACAAAAACATGTCAGTACTCCTGTAAAAATTTACAGTACACCTCCACTTGCAATAGGAGATGTAAGTACATCCACAACCCAAAACGTTAACTCGAGCCCTGCTCAAGTTATATAATATAAGAGAGAAGGTACATACCATATATAAGACTTCTTGGTTGAGATCTCGTTTCCAAAATACCTGTTGCATTATTATTGCCTATAACACGAAAAATCTCTTTGACACATTTCGGAGAAAGACGTATGAAATAGATAAAAGGTTTAATTATTTTTATGTCATTTCAGGACACAAATGTTGACAATGAATCTCGACCACTCCAAACATCCACACCAGGTACTGAGAATCCCCCTGATTCCAAATTAAGTGGCCCCTTCTTTGGTTACTGCAAGCTTACACGTACAGCCATTGTTTGAATGGCAGTTGCTAGAGCAGTAAAGCCTTACACAGTTCCACTATGAAGTATGCTGTCACGATTATCAGATAAATGAAACATGAAGTGTTTATAATGTTTAATGTGTAGAGCATTCGATTTCATTCCAAAGGGGTGTATATAAAATAATATCCTTATGGTATAAATAACGAACACAGACTCCATTAATGCATCTTAGTACTAGAGCCCAGTGTAATATGTTATGACCCATCATTGTATGAGTTCTGTCTATCGTAAGCTTTCATTGATGCATGAGTGAATGTTTTTTTCTGATATCGTCACGCTGTGCTGTTTACACTTTCTTTTCATTTGACAAAACAATGTGATTATTATAAGTGTCAATGTTATGATATTTCACGTTTTATTACCACATTATGTGTCTTGCTTTTTGCAGTGGGTGATCGGATATACGATGGTCGTGTAAGTATGTTTGAACCTTCATACCTGGAATATTTAATCATTAAGGCCCATTGGTGTGTTACTATATGTAGAGTTTGAAACGTTCATTGTTAACTCTGCTGTAATTCCAATGCTCTTTCTATATGGATGAGGTTATAATATAAGAAGGTACATACAGAGAGAAGGTACATACCAAATATAAGACTTCATTCAAATATTCCTTGCCTGAGATCTCGTTTCTAAAATACCTGTTGCCTTATTGCTGCCTATAACACGAACATTCTCTTTGACACAATTCGGAGGAAGCGCCCAACGGTGTGGCAAAGACTTTAGAAATACGTCAGTACATGTACATGACACAGAAACCATGTACGTGACACGATCAAAATTATCCATGGAGCATTTGTTACAGAACTTAGTGTCCAGAGATGGATTTGCATGTCTATCTTTCGAGATTTGTGACGTTTTGTGTAGGCCCATGCAACCTGAGGTTCATTGAGGAAACAATGGGTGAAGTACTGGACGTCCTCATTTATAATACGAATGGAAACCTGGGATAAGATGACTGGCAAGAAATAGGGAACCAATTGTACTCCCATTTTTCTGATCTGTTTTATATAGATATGAATCCGAACTTCTGCTCGGATATGGAGGAAAGCAGTGAAAGTTTGCCAAGGCATTAACTTATATGACAAAGTTGGATAATCTGTCATTCTATATCCAGCAAACAGCAAACGCCGTTGCAGTTGTGTACCCACCTAAACTGGAAAGTGGAGACCAGTGAGACGCCTCGTCTATTTGATTATGAGATCTGTGCACATATCTTCATAGATCCACTTTACTGTCTGACAATAGCTCAAAATATTCATTTTCGTTTTGTTCAAAACTACAGCCTTTTGTAAAATCGAGGAGGTTCTTTTTACGTAAACAGTTCATATGACTCTTATTCCCTAGGATATTTCATCACGGTTACAACATTCAAATAGTTTTATGGTTGATATTTGCAACTTTTTACGCACCAACCACAAAAGGATTATAAATGCAGTAACCCATTTCTACTTTTCCCCGTATGTTGCCGTGTTTTTAAGCTGATCAACTGACTTGTGTCATCACTTACTTGATAGTGATTCATAGACATATGACACAGTCCGATTCATATAATTAACTCTTATTTATTTTGTCTAATGAATTTCAGATTTTGAAAACAATTGTATATCAGCAGGCAGCTTTCCCTTTTTATCGCGAAACGATCATGGTTTGATCAAGCTGGCATAGATAAAGATGGATGAAACTGGTAATGCATTGCAGTTATATTTCTTATTTATTTGCAGGAAATTTCACTCAAACAGGACAGCGCACAAAAAACAGAATGATGTCACAGGTCGGTCGTTGCGATTTTTACTTTGGTAACACTTTCTATCGTTGTTTGTGTATGTAAATGAGAAATATTCCTTTTTAAGCATAAAGATGTAGGGGGTAGTGCTCAATTGTCGATAGTCATATATCAATGTATGAATGTGGCTTGAACTCAACGCATGTAGATCCTTACTTACATATCTGTTTTCAGTTCAAACCTCAATGAATATACACAAAATTAAGTCTTTCCTGCTTACTGAAATAGAGTCAGACTTAAGAGTCAAGCTTAATCAATTTCAGACTTGGATTCAAGTAATCCTAAACTATCTGAATTAGTTCACAAATGTAGACCATATATATGTCCAGACTCCAACTTGTCATTATATCAGTATCAAGTATATACTGAAATGTATGTCTGCAATATCCTTGTATATGACTGACTGACTGTTTTGTATTTTGTTGTTCATTTTGTGTACTGCTCTTCATGACAATGGGGGAAATGAAGTACATGTATATATATATAAGCTGGTCGTAAGAGGTCCTGTCAGTAGAAGCTGCTGGCTAATGAACCGGTCCTTGTTTTGTGTTGTAGCTGCACTGGTTTACCAGAACAGAACAGAGTATATTTCGTATGTTTTGGCCATGAGACCAATAGTACAGTGATCGTAAAGTTTATGATTTTACTGATAACAGAGCGCTTAATTTTAAGGTTTACAGAGTTTCTAAATTTGAACGCTTTTTCACAACAAGAGCGAGTTGAAATAACAATTCATCACTCTGTGTAGTAATTACGGATATAAACTTCAGCATTGAGGGGTATGTGTAATAATATGCAGGTAAATACCTTGCACGAAGTTGATTATAGGATGGACATATAAGCAGTACATGATATTCATTTTCCTCTTCTTCCGTACATAAATCGCATAAGGCATCAGTACAATCATAATCCTTAGGTAATCTATTGATTTTAAAATCATTTGAGCATCTAGATTTCGTTAAAGCCCTTCTTACATTTGATGGTTGAATTGAACTTAAATATTTTTCAGGTTGCGGGAGAGATTTGAAAGTGCTATACATTGAATTAGACGAAGCAGAAATAGAAACAGACGAATTTTGAGTAAAAAATATCCCTCGATCTTGATTTAAAAGTATAAATGAATGCTTCATAATTCCAAATTTCCTGCATTATCCTATTACTGCCAAAACCTTAACTAAAAAGAATGTATCTAACAAATGATACCCAATTAGTATAACCTAGTTCATCATATTTACATAGCATTAAATAACAATGTCTAGGGGGCTTGCCTGATGGCATTCTTAATAGTCTAATCCAAAATTATATGACCTTAATTATGCCATGCCCATACATTCTCACCCATTCCCAAGTTCACCTAGTACAGCATTGTTTGAAGATCTGTAAGCTGTAATTTTACACATATTTACAATATTACAAACATACTAAAAGTCCCCTAAAATGAGCTAAATCCACAGTGTACGTGCAAACATGCATACCCTACGATAATATTTCTTCTAAGAAAATCCTGTTTTAAAAATAGAAATACTCATAAAATCATTGTTTATGAATATAATCTCATCCAATTTGACAGATATAATGGATTTTATTGCACGTATATATAAATACTTTAAAAAGTAGAAAATAATTATTTGCCTCACGTGCACATCCCGTTTTGTTCTAAAAATAGATTTCTAGGAAAGTGTGACCCTGGGTCTGAGTTTTGGCCAGAAACTATTTGATATGAAGTTTAATTGGTCTTATACAGACATGAATATATTGCCCTGTGACGTATCTATCAAATGGTACCAAATAGTTGGAAGACATATTTCATTTTAACATTTAAATTGAAACTGGCAAAAAGCGAAATGTCATTGATTTGCATACCAGCCAGAAAACTGTTGCCCCCGATCCCTATTTCCCTCGCTTTGTATGTATGAGTCTTATCACTGATAATATTTATCACAGTTACTGATAAGTAAACATAGTAATAGTTTCATGGCAAATTGAACATTATCTGAAAGTTTTGATATAATAACTATACTTATAATTATAATTTCATTTCCATTGAAAATCGCAACAATTATAAAAGGACTGATACACAACCAACAATTATTTCACACACAAAAAAACACGAATGGCTGAAACAATTTCCTGAGGCGATAAACTACCACTTGCTCCTTTTTTCCATAATTGCTCATCAACTATCATCTTCCACTTAAGGGGTCCAAAGATGCATGACTTTTTGTCAGCAAATAGTTTAACACGAACATTTAGCAATTAAGTTGAACAGCTTCCATTCTGTGTGGCTTACTTGGTTTGTAAGGAATACATATCTTGCCACAAACCTTTCTCTTCCAAATGATTTGAGAAGGCCTCTGGTATTACCATTCACAGAAGCAAATGCAGTAACAGTTTTATAAAGTTTCTAGTTTGATGGACCAATTTGATTTGATGATTTGTGAGAAATCGATTGCATGTGCTTTTCACAACATTTCTATTCTTGCTTCCATCTTTTTACTTCAAGATAGTTTTGAGAGGGTCTCTAGAAATGACATACTTGAAGCATATCCACATTTCAACCTGCTAGTTCCACGGACAAGTTTTTTTTCACGATGGATCCATCAGGGTGTTGTATCATATGCAGCAAAAGTGTATCTCCTGGTGTTATTGTCACCGTCACACGAGGTCTTACTACCTTACTGCAAAGCAGCATAAGGCGCAAAATGGAATTGCTAAAAAATTATGTGGAATATCTTCAGTTTCAGTTCATATAAACTGCCGCAAAGATTACACTCGTGAATCTTCTATTTTAGCAGCTGTGAATCCCTCACCTCGAAAGACGGTTTCCTTAAGATCATGACTGTCAACTTTCAATTTCCAAATGAATTGCTTGTTCCGTGGAGAGAATTGTGATATAGTTTCAGAGACTAAAAAACCTGCAGATATCATACGGGAGGATATCAGGTCAATGCTTTGTGATACTGACCATTACACTCCTGCTCCTGATGCTTTTCATAATCACATGATGAATGTGCCTAATACTCTCAGTGTTGCTACAAAGCAAAGGAAGGCATCTGTTATTTGTCACCAAATACTCTCAGCGACAAGTGAGTGACTGAGTTAAAATTTACCGTCACATTGGCAATATTGCCATTGTGAGTTCGTATCCCACTGATGCCACTGTTGGATTCCTTGCACCTTTCAATTCAAACACGAAGCAAGGAATCAAGATCACATCAGTTGGATCCTGAGAAGGGTCTTTCTGAGTAGGGGCACTCTCAAGGTTAGAGCATGGTAGCCGACGCAATCCCTGGGAGAAGTTGCGCAACACCATCAATCTTTCGATAATTTCTCCTTAGGGGATTGTGGCTGCCGGGGA